TAGGGAGCCACAAGGGAATGATATTGTGGGTGGGGGGGGGGGGTGTAAGACACAGAATGACCTGTTAGCAGGATGGTGGATCCTATGCACTGGGCATCTGAAGAGGAGATGGAAAGCTCCCAGTGTGCCCCCCCTCAAAATAATACATTTGCACCCAGGGCAGGTGCCCCTTCTGCCCACCCTTGTCCCAGCCCTGCCAATCTCCCCTCTAGCAGTAACAGTTTATCTCCTTTTATTTTGTCAGTTAGTGACCTTTAAAGTTGACTGTATACATAGAGACTTAAATGTCCAACATTGAATATAACTGTGCTCTGGGTATCTTGAGGATCTGGAGAGGAGACAGAAAGATTCCAGTGTGCCCTCCCTCCACATGATAAATTTGCACCCAGGGTAGGTGACCCTTCTGCCCACCCCTTGTCTCAGCCCTGCTAGTCTCCCTTCTATTTTGTCAGTTAGTGACTTTGAAAGTTGACTGTATACATAGAGACTTGAAAACCCAACATTGGATACAACTTTTTTTTTAAGATTTGTATAAAGTAGGACAGAGATAGAACTTCTGCCAGACTGGCATTGTTGTGCGTAAGGCAAAGGCAAATGCCAGAGGTGTGATATAAATGAGGCACCTTGAGGAGAGTATTATTGGGTGTGGACAAAATTGCACTTGTAGCAACCCTGCTTTATGCAGCTGTTTCTGCAATAAATGTAAGATGTTTTACTGCTATGCTGTAACCAGCCTGAGCTAATGTTTAACTTCTGAGTGCTGTGGGTTTTCCTTAAGCCTGGTAGGTTGATTGCTTCAGTCTAGTACTGGGAGGAGATTCCAGATCAGTGTGGTAAGAATTAACCACTAGGTTGTGGATATTTCTCTGACTCGTCTAATATATGAGCAGCTACATCTAGAGGTATGGTCTGGAGAGATGATATATGTTTGGGAGCACCATTCCAGAACTCTTTCCAAGTTGGAGTTGGAGCAGATGCCTGAAAGAATCTGAACTAAGCAGAAATGCTCTTGTCTAAAGAGGGGTTGCAGAGAATCTGGGAGGCAAGCTGTCTTCTGCACCATGGAAGATGGATCTTTTTTTCCCAGGGAATGGAGGTGTCCTTGTCTGTTTACAGAGGGGCAATCAGATCTTGATGCAAGAAAACACTACTGCTCTCAAAGGGTCTCCGGTTTATGTATTTGTGCTCAATCAGTATTTGTTTTTAGAGGTCATTCTCATAAGACCTATTTCTGACTTGGTTATCTGTCCTCCTATTTTCTGCTTTTGGGTGTTCTGCACCACTACACCCCCTCTCCAGTTTTGAGCACTGCATCAATAGTAAAAAGACACTAAATACTGGAACCTGAAAATTTCCAGAGTTTTGTTGGTGAACTGTTGGATCCTGATAATGTGCAGGTAATCATGGGACAGGTAGAGGAAACCATCAATTTTCAGAAACTCCCTAGAAGACAAAGTCAGAGCTCAGTAGTATGTAGTGTATAGAGTGCCAGGGTCAGTAGTATGTAATGTACAGACACAGAGCACAACAGTGCAGGGATCAGGAGTGTGTGCCATACACTCTCAAGCAGCATTACCACCACCAGAACGTTCACAGAAAATACATTTCCAGGCCTTCTGATCCTGGATGTGTGCCCCTGGTACCTCGTGCTGGAGATGCCTATGGTGGGACGTTTGATTCAGCATCTTTTTGATCCAGAATTAGAAATAAGCAGAGCATGTCTCAGTGAAAGGTATAAACAGCAAATATTAAAACCCTGTATATAGTCTAACCCTTCCCTAATCTATTAAAAGCTTTCACCCCCATTCGAGAGATTGTTGCTTTCTGTTCTTTTGACACCCTGCCACTAGCACAGGAATTAAGAGAAAATTCCAGTAAAAAGGCAAAGGCAGAGGTTTTAACTATTCCCCACACTGTGTAAAATGGGCTTTAAAGTACAAATGTAGTTTTTTGCTTTATTTATATGCAGGTATAAAGGTAATGATAATTAGTATTATTTTTAATATGTGTAAGTGGTTTGTTGTTCATAAAGATCTTTGTAAAATGTTTTAGGCAATATTAAGTACTTCCAAACATATTGCCAAGTGTTTCCCATACAAGTTTCTATACCCTTGCCTTGGAACAGGTCTCCTAGCAAGGTATGTTTCACTTCATTAAACTTTTGTATTTTAGTTCAACATTTTATTATTTGATACTGCATAACTTTAGGAAATCTTACTTGCTATGTTTTTAGTCATAAAATGTTGTACAATAGAAAGGACTGCCTAGGGACTCCTGAAACTTGAACTCCAGATTTGGTCCGATCCAACAGTGTCAGGATCTGAACCCATAACCTCAGATGTGTCCAATTGTGACTCTTCTTGCTCAGCCATCTGAAATGCTGGACAGCACCCTGTCTGATTCCTGGATTAAACATGTCTTGTACTTTATATCTGGTAAACCCTGAGCTCTTTGCTCCTCCCATGAACTTCCTATTTAAGCCATGAATTTTCACTTTTTGTTTGGCAGATTATTGTGCTCTCTTCAGCTTATATCCTGCAGCTGTCTTTGTCCCCAATACCATTCTTTATTAACCTTTGGCTTGTTCTTTGACTACGCTTCCACTTGATCCCAACCAGCAATATGGCCTGCTACTAGCATGCAGCAAAACCCATGTCCACCATCAGGAGCTCTGGTGAATACCAGTCAGTACATAGACCCCCCACCTAGGGTGAGGCTGCATCATCCATCAGGGTGACCTGCTTGTGTACTTATCCAGCTGGTCGATGGGAGCCACTCTACTGCTATAGCTACTGGTCATCAAGCCTGACTGTGACACACAAGCTGCCACTTTGGCTCAGAGCATATTAGTATCTCAATTGCGTTGTATGTGTAGCACTACCCCGTTAGGAGTTGCTGGATTATTTTCGGGCTCCCTGTTGTTCTGGACCCCTCTCTGAAAGCCCAACCCCTGCTGACACCACAGTACACTCTAAAATGGAATAAATTACCACCAGAAAGTAAGTTTGGTAAAACAGCATAATCAAAATCAGCATTTGCAGAGTCAGCTATCACTTGTGTCAACTTTAAACACTTATCACAGAATCACAGATAGTGTTAGCAGACCTGCTTTTCAGAAATGAACCCAATACCTTCAACCTGAGGTGGCTTTACAGACCCCCAGTGAGCTCAGGAGCTATCAAATAAGTGGACTGCTTCACTCTGGGCCCTCAGGACGTGATGGCAGGGAGATAGTGTAAAATGAGAAAAGAGCTCTTTATCCAAAATGTTCTCTTAAAGGCAGTGAATAGTCTTCTGCATGCCTGATGGAGCCCAGTTGGTGCACAATTAGAAGAAGTGTAAATAACGGTTCTCTGAAGAACAATGCAATAAAGGAGGGGAGGAACAGCACTCCCACTGCAGACACCAATTTACTGGTGTGGTGTTATATCCCTTTATAGCACTGGTCCCTAGTAGATCCAAAGCAATACAATGTTGAACTGGCAGAAGTGATTGTTGATACAGGGAAGTTCCTACAAGACTATTGGAACATTAGGGAAAGGTCTCTTCAAAATGATACATCGATGATGGTGGTGACACGGCCGTGGTTCGGCCTGTGGGATGGCTGTCCTGCTATCAGTGCTGGTGTTAAGGCCGGGTTAAGTTTGGTCAAGTAATAGCTAGCTGGAGGAACTAGGCCCCAACTTATAGTGACTGTATGCGATGTCCGCAACTGTGTAAAGGAACTACCAGCTATGGAGTAAGTGTGTGTGTTCTTCCCTAGGCAAGGCATGGCACTCTCTCACCCGAGGAATGGCATCTGGCAGATCCTTGTGGCCTTTCTCTCTCTCCAGAAGGGGCCCACTCGAATTCTCTGGTCTCACCGGACAGAGGCACATCAGGCTGGACACCAGATCACCAGGCGGAGCAGCGGGCACCGTGCCACCAGGCGGAGCAGCAGGCACCGGGCCACCAGGCGGAGCAGCAGGCACCGGGCCAGCAGGCAGGGCAGCAGGCACCGGGCCACCAGGCAGGGCAGCAGGCACCGGGCCACCAGGTGGAGCAGCAGGCACCGGGCCACCAGGCAGGGCGGCAGGCACCGGGCCACCAGGCAGGGCGGCGGGCACCGGGCCCCCAGGCGGAGTGGCGGGTACTGGGCCACCAGGAGGAGCGGCGTGCGCCAGGCCACCAGGCAGGGCGGCTGGCACTGGGCCCCCAGACGGAGGGCGGGCAACGGGCCCCCAGGCGGAGCGGCAGGCACCGGGCCCCCAGCGGAGTGGTGGGGCACCGGGCCCCCAGGCGGAGCGGCGTGCGCCAGGCCACCAGGCAGGGCGGCAGGCACCGGGCCCCCAGGCTGAGGGCGGGCAACGGGCCCCCAGGCGGAGCGGTGGGCACCGGCCCCCAGGCGGAGCGGCGGGCACCGGGCCACCAGGCGGAGCGGCGGGCACTGGGCCCCCAGGCGGAGCGGCAGGTACCGGGCCACCAGGCAGAGCGGTGGGCACCGGGCCCCCAGGCAGAGTGGCGGGCACCGGGCCACCAGGCAGAGCGGCAGGCACCGGGCCACCAGGCAGAGCGGTGGGCACCGGGCCACCAGGCGGGGCGGCAGGCACCTGGCCCCCAGGCAGGGAAGCAGGCACCGGGCCCCCAGACAAGGCGGCAGACACTGGGCCCCCAGGCAGGGCGGCAGGCACTGGGCCCCCAGGGGGAGCGGCAGGCACCGGGCCCCCAGGCGGAGCGGCAGGCACCGGGCCCCCAGGTGGAGCGGCAGGCACCGGGGCCCCAGGCAGAGCGGCAGGCACCGGGCCCCCAGGCGGAGCGGCGGGCACCGAGTCATCTGGCAAGACAGCGGGCACCGAGTCATCTGACAAGACCGCGGGCACTGAGTCATCTGGCAAGACCGCGGGCACCAAGTCATCTGGCAAGACCGCGGGCACCAAGTCATCTGGCAAGACCGTGGGCCCCGAGTCATCAGGCATGACAGCGATTTTTAAAGTCAACCGGCACGACAGCGGGCTCCGAGTCAACTGGCACGACAGCGGGCACCGGGTCATCAGGTACCGGATCGTCTGGCTCGACAGCGGGCACCGGGTCATCTGGCTCGACAGCGGGCATCGGGTCACCAGGTACGACAGCGGGCACTGGGTCATCAGGCATCGGGTCATCTTGCTCGACAGTGGACATCGGGTCATCAGGCACGACAGCGGGCATCGGGTCACCAGGCATGACAGCGGGCACTGGGTCATCAGGCATTGGATCGTCTGGCTCGACAGCGGGCATCGGGTCACCAGGTATGACAGCGGGCACTGGGTCATCAGGCATTGGATCGTCTGGCTCGACAGCGGGCATCGAGTCATCAGGCACGACAGCGGGCATCGGGTCACCAGGCATGACAGCGGGCACTGGGTCATTAGGCATTGGATCGTCTGGCTCGACAGCGGGCATCGGGTCACCAGGCATCAGGTCATCTGGCTCGAAAGTGGGCACTGAGTCATCTGGCAAGGCAGTGGGCACCGAGTCACCAGGCACGACAGCGGGCTCTGAGTCATCAGGCACGACAGCGGGCATTGGGTCACCAGGCATGACAGCGGGCACTGGGTCATCAGGCATTGGATCGTCTTGTTCGATAACGGGCACCGGGATACCAGGCTGCGCCACGGAAGGCTGGTTCTCAGATGGCAGACTGACCAATCTGGATACTGGCAGGATGGTACTGGTTGGAAAGAATTTTCGCCTTTTCCTGGTTTTAGTTACCCGAGCACTGTAAGTAAGCGCAGGTTTGTAAACGGATGGAGCAGCTGAAGATAGAGAAGAGCTGGAGGATGGAATAGAGGAGGGAGCAGTTGCTATAGAGGACTTCTTTACAGGGTTAAAGGCAGGATAGGTGCAGCGAGTGGGAGCAGAGGACTGATATGTGGTAGTTAGCAGAGTATACTGGGCTGTCACTGGGGGTGCTGTCGGGGGTGCAGGAATAGAGCTTTGAAGAAATAGATTAGAAGCAGGACTGGGTTCTTGCAAGCTGACTGAGGCTGGGTGCAACAAATCTGTCCATGTCTGCAGTACTGGTTGAACAAAACTCAGCTTACACATAGCCTGTCTGATCAAAGACTGCACTGCGTTTATGCAATCCATAAGCACATGTGATGGACAAGCTGCATAATGCTCATGGAAGCAATCTGGATCATCCTCCAACAACCATACTAGTGATTCCACTTGATCCACACTAAATGGGGGAAAAAAGTCATTCCTGCTTTCAGGGGTACAGGACCGAGCCAACTCAGCACAAACCTGGATCAATGGCTGCACCTCAGAAAACTCTGTGCCCTGATCTACTAGGCAATGAGCGATCCTTATACACTCTAGTAGTTGATCCCTGGGATACTCCTTCAGAGTCTGATAAGCATAGTCTTTGTCATCAAACACTAGCAGAGATAAATACACCACCTCATCAAGATCCATCCTTCCCAGCAACAATAAGCCAAGATGGCTTCCCTGTGCAGCCACTTCTGGTCAGGATTGGCCTTGGTGTAATGTCAGGGCTCCGGGTATGACCAGAGGTGTGTGGACTGACACAGGGAAACGCAGGCTTCAGATATGGTATAAACAATATAATTTATTAAGACTAACAATACAAAACGCAGTGCAAAACTAAACATAAACACAGTGCAAACAAACCAAACCATCTACAGATAACAAGACATACAATGCAAGAGTCATCAGGCAGGCCGGGTCAGTAGCAAACGGGCAAAAGGAGTACCAGGAACAGGCGGGAGAGTGGTCGGGGTCACAAGCTGGGTTCAGTAACACACAGGCAGCGCGGTGCAGAGGGTCAGGTAGAGAATGGTCAGGGTCACAAGCCAGGGATCAAACAGGAGAAGTCAGCAGAGGTCAGGATCAGGCAGGGTCGGCAACAAGTCAGGCAGAAACAGGAACAGCAACACAGGATACAAGATACAGGGGACCATTGAAAAACACACACCAAGGCCCTGACTGTGAGTCTGGCCATTCCTTAAATACAACCCCTGCAATCAGCTTCAGGTGTTTGGCTGACTGCAGAGGTGAGTCTCTGATTGCTGAGAGCACCCGCTGGCCAGCCCTGGTACTGCAGCCCACAAGGCAGGTGAGTCCCACCATTATTGGCAAGTCCATTCCTGACAGCTTCGTTCCTATAGAAGACCAAAAGTAGATATTTTATATGCAATAGAAAGGCTTGTAATCTAAGACTATGTAATCTCTGGCATTATTTTACATGGAGTTTACACTGGGTTTGACTCCTAGAGGAACAGAGTGGCAGAAGAATGGAATAAAGTTTCGTTTAAATGGGTATCTAGGAGATGTGTACTTCAAGAAATTCAAGAGCTCCCATTCATAATCTGCTTCTAAAATTCTAGTTGCCTGGCTGTGTCTTGCTTTAGTACTTTCTGAGACATTGACCTGGAACAAGCATGCAGATCATTTAAGAATGAAGTCAGTATTCCTGATATGCAAACTTGTTAAGGGTCAGCAAACCATAAACAAGTCTTTAGGTAAAGCATATAAATAAGCGAGCGCCTTCCAAATAGCAGCAGCTGTACACCAAAGGCACCATATAAGACCTTCCAAAAGACAGTAAAATACAAAAAGGTGCAGCGCTAAAACACAAATAGACAAAAGTGTATATACATGTACAAACTCATGCAAAAGTATAAGGTGACACTGTGCATACAGATATACGCCACTATATTGTGGCTAATAGGACGTGAGGAAGGATTGTTATATCCAAAGGTAAGTCCAGCGTGAGGATGTGAACAAGATCTCAACCGATCTATGACTTTCCAGACGACACAGACTGTGTGCACGGTGAAACAATGGGGGTACAGATTACGCACTCACCAGATGCGCAACCTTTGTGCGCTTTTCTATAACATAGAGACCTCCAATGCCTCAACTAGGGCCTGGTCAGATCTGGTCAGGTCCCCTTCTATTATCCAACACCTTGCGATCGGCCTTCTCCTTAGATGATCACCACTCTCCAAATAAACCTGGCTCCCGCAGGAGCCGATATAAAGTTGCCGCCGGGACCCCTCGTGGTGCCGGCGGTAATAGCGTCACACAGCTGCAGCCTGACTCTGACGCGTTTCGAGCGACAGCTCTTAGTCAAAGGGTTTTTGGCTATATGAGATATAGCCAAAAACCCTTTGACTAAGAGCTGTCGCTCGCTTATACATCGAACATATTTCTACTACAGTGTAACCTCAGAATTTATTATTTCAATTACAATAACACCCTGCAAGACACTAATATAACCTGAATTCACATAGAAAATGACTCTACATGTCTACCTATTTTTCACTGCACAAAGAGAATTATGAATAGCAGGCTTCTGCTCTTTGGATCTATACTTATGCTTATCCAATTAGGTTACATTAGCTCAGCTGGATCCTCTTGGGGCTCATGCTTGGTGATAAGCCTTTAGCAGAAACATTAGAAGTATTTATTATGTACATCATCCTCATACTGGTCTGCATGGCTGGGTTGATTTATAAGAAGCTTCTCTGTGTGAAGATAAAATGATTTAAATGTTCACTGCTAGATCACTACATAATTCATGATGCTTTTGCAGTCTCATGACCACCTTGCTGTAGTCACCTAGCATTGTTTACCAGGATTAGCAGAACTTTCTGTACTGCTCTTTTACAGTATGTTGAGAGAACGTTACCAAGTTCTGTGCATGGATAACAACTTATTTAGATTTAGAAGATGTTACCCCAGATAAAAGCATATGCTCCATTTCAATTATAAAATCATGCATTTGCAGAATTTTTCAGATAATACGATCAACATATGCGACACTCACCAAAAGAGGCATATTTTATTATATGCGCTCCATTATTTGAATATGATAACCCTGCTCATCATGGAGTCTTTAATTAGGTTTCAGTATGTTGTATAGTTGTTACACAGCCTTTCATCTTTAGGATGTACTTGTTAGAATAAAAATAATGGGGCTGGCATTTCACTCAGCCAAATGTCTTTGTGAGAAGCCTTAGGTGAACACTGCCATGGTATGAGACTCGGGAGCCCAAAATAACAACATTAATAAACAGTAAAAAAGAACACACACATGCACTAAATTGATTAATTGCTTTACCATTTTCACTGCCAGAGCCCTTTTTGAGTTTTTTGCACAAATATTATCGGTTCTTCACTCTAGAAAAATAAAATTCAGCATGCTGGTGCGTGAAGCCTGGGAATCATGCTATCACATACCTGGTTGGTACTGAGTTGACTGCCCTTTTACTTCTTGTCCTGTTTCCCCTGGGGATGGTGACAGGGTATAACAGAGCACAGAGTGGCATGGGTGCCTGTAGGAAATCTAATTCAGAATATCTTGATAGCAGATGCGGAGCTGAAGCAGACCAGCTGGCAGCAGGCAGATTCTGCATCTTAGATACATAGTCAGGCAGTGGTCAGCAACAACCGGGTACCAGGAGTACAGAGTCAGGAACCAGGAGAAGAGTCAGAGCCAGGCCAAAGTCAGTATCAGGTGAGCAGAAGAAGTACTGGAACAGCAGTCAGGAAGCAGGGTAAGGTCACAAGGCAGAGTCAGCAACAGAGGTTCAGGAAAAAGCAGGATCAAGAAGCCAAGATACGGATGAACACAACATCAGGTTACAAGCAGGAGCTGACGACCACTCAGCAAGGAACCTGAATCCTGTTAGGTTTTAAATAGGCCACTGGGAGCCAAAGTCCATCAAAAAAGCATGCTTGCACACATGAGCATGCACAGAATGCTAATGCTCACGCACACATGCATGTGCACATGCTCATGTAGATGCATGCAGGGTAATGCTGTACACAGTTCTATGGACCCTTCTGTGCGCATGCACATTCCTTTGAGCACAGGCATTCCTTTGAACATGAACATTCCTTTGAGCATGGGCATTCATTTGAACATGAACATTCCTTTGAGCAAAGTCATTCCTTTGAGCACGGTTTTGAGCATGGCTTTCCTCACATTACCCCATCCCCTCCATTTGAGTCTTTCCTACTGGATGATTAGCAGAAAAAGTCTGCAACAGATCTGGGCATGCACATTTTTCCCAAGTACCCAAGAATTTTCTTAGGGTCAAAGCCCTTCCACTTATTAAGTACGTAGTGCATCTCCCTTTCGTTCTGTGGTCCAAGATAGCCTCCATTTCATACTCCCTAGAGTAATTTATCGTAATTGGCGGTGGAGGTCCTGAATCTTCATCCGATACAGACTTCAACCAGGAAACCTGAAAGACAGGATGGATTTTATAAGATTCAGGTAAACACAGTTCATATGCTACTGGATTAAATTCTTCATCTGACTGTAAATGAACCAACATATCTGGGTCCCAATTTTTTTGATAGGTATGGCAATTTCATATTCACAGTAGACAACTATAGCTTAGAAACAAATCCCACCTCTTTCTTTTGTCAAAGACATTCTTATTATCTACCATGGCCTTTGCAGCAGAAATTTGAAAATGTTTTGTTGTTTTCGAAGAAGAAATTAATTCTGTCTTGTACTGCAGGAACTGGGAAATCTGGAAGGTCAGGCAGAAATGATGGGCAAAAATTGTAGTTAGCAAAAAAATGGAGCTTCATCAGTGGCACTGTAAACAGAATATTCTGCCAAAGGCAAAAGAGATGCCCAATTGTCTTGTGAGA